CTTTTGTTTGACTGGCTTGTGCGCCGGGTCAACATGCAGCTTGTGCGTGATTATCTCGGGGTCTACCCCCGTCATTTTCATTGCGTTCCAAGCGAACACGTCTGTATTTCCCCTTAGGAACTCAATCATCTCCTCCTGTTCGGCTGCGGCATCTTGCGGGTTCCCAACTAAAAAATATCTTTCTTTCTCCCTTAACCAAGGGCACCTTTCGGAGGTCCTCCCCGACCGCTCTAGTTGAGTCTATCCGGGGGTCATCCATTCCTGGACGCCCGGACTGTGATTGCTATTTCTCCATGATCTCTTCCAAGGCTCACCCTTTTCTTGGGTGAAACGCCCCGCTCTCTAAAAGCTGAATAAAAAATATTTTTTTTTGCGGACGCTTGGTCCCCCCGGATCTCCATGATACCTTTGCGCGTGACAAATTTTAGTTTCTGGTGGTAAGTGGAGTGCACCGCTCCCAACGCATGCAGCCATGTTCGCCCCATGATCACGTTGTAGGGAGAGTCCGTATCAATACGACAAACTCGGTGTTGATGACGAAGGGACCCGTGACAACTGACAATGTGATTTTGCCTACGGCAGGGCGAACGAGCCGTTGAATCCGATGAGGGGTGTCCTGACCTTGGTGAGGTCCTTGAGGCCAAGACCCATCCGTTTTTAAAGTCTCGGAGTACATCACTTTCGAGGAACTTCCAGAGTCTATCAACACCCTTTTGACGTCGAATTTTCCTATCTTCAGGTCAAGACAAGGGCGTCGTTATGAGGAGTCACTACGTCTGTCAAGTCCGCATCGGAGAACGTGATGCTGGGCTCACCAACCCTGGCCCTTTTACTGGGTGGCCCTCCATCATCCTCGGCTACCTTCCTTGTAAAAGCTACCCTCTTGAGGTCGGACTCGAGTTCCTTGGACGTGGAGCGATCCAGGGGAAATACATGGATGACATCTATGATGTTGTCCGGCTCCTCGGTCGGGGCAAGGGTGTGCCTCTCTTCTGGCCTGGGCTCTATGTATTCTTTCAAGTATCCATCTCGGACCAATTTTTCCAAGAACGATTTGTATATCCTGCAGCTTTCGGTGCGATGTCCGAAATTCTGGTGATAGGAACACCTAACCTTTTGATCACGGGTGGAGGGATCGCTCTGCATCCTGGGCGGCCACTTAAAGAATGGCTCATGCTTGATTTTATGGAGTAACTTGAAGATGGGTTCCTTGAACATAGTATGAACTCCTTTGGACGAACCCCCTGGAGGGGGTAGCAATCCCTTTCGAGGAGTATCCTCCCGCTCCCTCTCTTTTCTCTTAGATTGGAGGGTTCGGCCTTTGCTGCTTCCCATCTCGTCCTCGATCCTTGAGTACTTGTTTATCCGGGCCATCAGCTCGCCCATATCTGAGGGAGTCTTCTTATTCAGGGATCGGTACAGGTCCGTGTCCCTTGCCAAGCCGAGCCTGAAAGACGCCGCTGCCATGACTTCCGAGCAGCCTTCTACCTCATTAACCTCTTCCCAGTATCGGATGACATACTGGTGAAGGGTCTCGAATTCCCTACGTCTGAGCGTTACCAATGATCCAACGTCTTTGGGACGCTTACTCCCCGTAATGAATCGAGCTAGGAACTGCCTCATCAATTCCTTCCACGATCCAATACTGTTGAGGGGGAGCGCCTCGAACCACTTCATCGCAGAGTCCCCCAAGCTCATAGAAAACACTCGGCAGAGGAACCGTTGGTCTAAATGATAGAGGGACATCATCTGCTTATATTGCCTGAGATGGGCTTCGGGATCGGACCGCCCGTCATAAGTTTTGAACCTCGGCACGACAAAATTTCTTGAAACCTCCATCTCTCCGATCTCCCTTGTAAAGGGTGTTTGTATGACCTCATCTTCAACCTCATCCTGGACAGCCTTACTATTTCTCCTGGATTCCAACCGGACTCTTTCATCCTGAAGTCTTTGAGTTCATCAATAGGCCCCCCATTTCTTGGGCGTCGTGTGGATAGGGTAGAATCCTATTCGGACTCATCTCCCTTCCTCCGTCTAGACAATCCTCGTCGGAGGTCATCTAGGGCTAATGGTCTTGCCTTCCTTGAATGGTCGTTAGGAGGGTGCTCGTTGGCTCTCGGTCGCTTTGGGGCCCTGGAGCTTTCTGCATTGTTGTTTAGATGATTCCTTAGATCCTTCGTTTCCGCCTCCCAGACGGGGAGCCCACAAGAAAGGAATGAGTCCCTCGACCCTTCGCCAAAGGTGGCAAATTCGTTGAGCCGGCTTAGGACGTTTAAATTGTCCTTTTCTAGCTGTCGTAATCTATCGCCAAACTTTTCTTCGATCACCTCCGCCAGCTGACGAGCCAGGGGGGCTGATCCTCCTGACCTGATTCCCATACTGGTTTGAGGGGTAACCTCTCTTGACTGAGTAGAGGCATTATTATTCCCATCAGTGTGATCCCTTCCTCCGTGGTGACAGGGAGCTTGTAATTCGAGACTTCTTTGGTGGGGACCTTTCCCTTTTTGTCGAGTGTTCACCATGGTCACTGTTCTTTATAGAAAAAAAACTAGGAAAACTAGTCGTTTCCCACAGACGGCGCCAGATTGTGCGTGCTAGATCTTGCACAATATAAAAACGATAACAGATCTCTCCCTTGGTGAACTCGAGTGAGTTAGTTGAGTGGTCAACCACGCTGCTTGGAATAGCCTGTGAGATCCGGTGGTAACCTGGAACGGTAATTGGAGACCCTCGCGGATCAAAGGAACGATCCAGTAAGGCTGAAGAAAGGTTCCTGGAACAAAGAAGAACAAGTTAGAAGGGCGCCGGAGTGTTTTCCGGCGTATCCCCTCCGACGATCGAGTCAGTTTTTGAGAGAGAGAAAGAAGAAAACACTTCAGTATAATTTGTAGCAAAAGTTTCACCTCATTTCCTTGTCTTTAGTGAGGAGTATTTATACCTCAAATACTCATGATTGCTGTTAGTGTGGTCAGTAGGTGATCATTAGATACAGGCAACGTGCGCACTGATTCCTATGAGGAATGTCTTCTCTCTTAACTGCCCGGGACCCCGAACAATCAAGTCTGTGTCATCGGCCTGCCGACGGTTCAATGAGCTCCTCTCGGGAAGGATGCAATAAATGCCCAGCCTTAGAGACATTTATTGTCTTTCACTTCTGAGCCTTACCGCATTGAATGCAGTCTCATCAAGGGAATGATGTAATTAAATTCTTGTTTTCCTAAGTTGCATGTCAGCAAGGTCATGCGGTCTTTCTGTCTCTGATGTGACACAATATGCCACGTGTCCATTCCTCATTAGCTGTGACCCCTGCCTTCCTGTGCCTTCTGACACCAATTGTGTAAGACGAGGTCATGATAGCTAACCTAGCCTAGCCTAGGCTAGTGACCAGTGTATCAATAACCTCTGCTGGGGCAGAGAACTTCATCATGGATGAGAGGGGGTACATCTCGGTACCGAGGAAGAGGTACATCTCGGAACCGAGGAAGAGGTACATCTCAGAACCGAGGAATAGGTACATCTTGAATCCGAGAGGGGGTGGCCTAGCGACCGATGTACCATATCAGACCGAGGGTACGTGTCGGTACATAAAAACATGCTGGATGCCACTCGATCCCATGATAAGTACCTCGGGGTAGAGGAGACTTGTGACCCGATGGGTACGTGATCTCGATAACAAGGATCAGTGACACCGAAGACACGTGTCTTCATCTTAGAATATTTCGAAAATGTCTTATAACTCTCGTTCGTTTGCTTGGTCTTTATCGACTGTTCGGCTACTGTGCTAACCGAGCCGTTCAGTGATGAGGCTCTATTTCTGCTCAACTAAAACCGGAACCTGTTCGGTTGTTATGCATGGCTCAACTAGAGGCAATCTGCCTTACCATATTTCTGTACTTTTGTCACGTGCAACGTGTCCTCATGAAATGACCTATTCATGCATAGTATTTTTGAGCAACTTCAATTTACATTTGGGTTTTTTGTTTTTGCAAACTAAGTCTAATGAACAAGAAGTGGCTGAAATAGTTATACGTCATCCAGAAACGAACTATCGTGTAAGTGCACACGTGCAAGTGTGCATACGGCGCGCGTGTGTAGAAAGAGACAGAGACAGAGACAGTGACAGAGAGGATGTGAAGGATGAGTCGGTCATCAGTAATAAAAGCAAGAACAAGATGAAAAGACAGGCTGAAGCACCTGCTCCCCCACAAATTGACACAGGATCGTACAAGTTGCTATCTATCTAACAATATCTTATTATTATAGATATGGAATATCTATGGAATATCCACCAGGACCACAACCTTTGGCCCATCACATACAGCTCGACCTGGCTGTCTTGTTTGTGGTAATCGAAACAGAGCTCTTCCCCTTCACTTTGCTGGTAATAACTGTCCCTATCTGTTATTTAACCGGCCTTCCGAATGGTAGGGGTCTCGACTCTGACAATACTCTAGGGTCGGAGCAGAGAAATGTACTTGTTTGTTGATATTGCAATCCACTTTTCCAGCATCGCCAAGATATAGTTGTTATTCAGCACAATTCTAAAAAGAATTACAATTCACCAGACTCTTATTATTGTGAGTTTTAAAAAAAGTGAGATGTACATAATTTTTAAAAAAAAAAAAAAGTGTACATAATTGTCTTACATGCTAACAGACTATGTTTGTGTCTCAAACCAATGACGTTTTAATCACAATGGTTGTTAATTAATATCATAGATCGAACAAGATCTGGATCCCTTTAAATACAATAGTACCCTCTAAACTCTTCTCATCCGAGATATCCCTATTAGTAATTACTTGAAATATTAATTCCTATCATGAAAACTCTATTTCAGGGTTGAAGCAGCCAAGGCTGTACTTATCAACACCTGATGTCTCATTCACTCACGTGTGTGTGTTTTGGAACCTTGTTAGAAAAGTGTCGTGGTCCCCAAAGTCCATTCATAGAATAAAAGAGAGAACATTTGGCCCAAAGCCTTATGTTTACATGAAAATTTCAAACTTGGTCATGTGTCAGATAAACACGGGTAAATATCACAATTAGTACTAAAATTTTGTCCTCGATTGTAATTTAATCTCTAGGCTTTCAATTAAGTTTTTTTTTTTTTATCTATTTTCACTGTTAGATCAACCAAAGACTTGCTTAATATAATTTAAAAAATTATACTTCAACTCAAAAATTATATGCTTGTTTTTTTCCCTTTCAATAGCCCCTCAAGTTATCAAAGTTATATTTTATATCCTTAAATTGTGATCTTGGTTTTGCGTTACCCCTCAACTATTCATTTAAACGCATTAGACCCCTAAGTATTTGAAATATTCTCGTGAACTGTTTTAATCCAAAATGTAACAATTGGAGAAAAAATAAAATTTAAAAAGTTGTGCCAAAAATCTGCAATTTGAATGATTAATGGTGCAACCACTTCAATTAAATAATTGAAGAAAAAAGATGCAATAAAGATAATAATTTAAGAGGATAAATGTAATTTCTAAAAATCATATATGTAGGATCCAATGTTGTATAGAATATATATTTAAGAGATATGCACATAGATCTCATTTTGTTCGTACTTTTTCAAGTCGTATCAACATAGTAAAAGTCAATTGTATTTATTGATTATATAATAAAATTAAACTAAAATTTTTTATTTTTTATGAATGAATATGAAATTGTCTTGCATGTAGTTGATTTGATATATTACAAACAATGTTTTAATTTTTTGAAAATTAAATTGTACTGCAATTTATCGTATAAAAGTTATTTTCATAATTTATATACAACAAAAAACTTGATGCTAACGATAGCTCATTGAATAGTTCTATTGAATAGAAAATTATGTCCATGACATAATTTGTCCCCCCTTAGGATAAAATCATAGCTCCGCCCTAGGCTCTAGTAAATGTTCTACATGAACTATTCTATCGAGGCTCCCCTATGCTGCAGTAGCTAGCTTGGCCAACGAATCTACTCGGGTGTTTTTTTCCCTGGGTACTTGTAGGATTTCTTTGTGGATGAACTTGTTAAGCAATTCATTCACAACTCTTACATAAGCTGTCATTCTATCCTTCTTGCCACTATATTATGTACTGACCTGCCTCACGACCAGTTGGGAGTCACTATGGATTTTCACATGTTGAGCTTCCATTAACATGACTAATCTGAGCCCTGCAATCAACACTCATTTTCTACCTCATTGTTAGACGTTTTGAAGTCAAACCTCAAGGTATTCGAGGTCTATCCCAAATTATGCTGCCCTATAACTTGCTCGAGGGATGAGGTGAACTCAGCTATGAAATCTTCTATGACTTGGCTTTTTATTATGGTACTTGACTTGAATTTGATGTCGAATTCTCCGAGCTAAATTGCCCATTTGACCAACTGACCTGATGATTCAGGTTTGTGCAAGACCTGTTTCACTAGCTAACCAGTGTGTACCTTAATGGTATGGGCTTAAAAATAAGGTCTAAGCCTTCTTGTTGTAGTGACGAGATCTAGGACTAGTTTATCCATCTTTGCATACCTCTCCTTGGCCCCTTTAAAGGATTTACTACAGAAATAGCCTAGTCTTTGAACCTTTTCATCATTTCTAATTAAGACATCACTAACTGAAAAGTAAGAAACTGCCAAGTATAAAGTGAAGCCCTCTCTAGGCTTTGGGCTAACTAGGATTGGTGGCTTTCTTAGGTAGGTTTTGAAAGCCTGAAAAACATCCTAGCATTTGTTGCTCCATTGAATGGCCACCTTTAGCACCTTGAAAAAGGGTTGGCACTTGACTCTTGCTCAACAAACAAATCTGCTTAGGGCGACTATTCTTCCTATGAGATGTTGCACCTCCATTGTGTTCGATGGTGATTCATCTAAAGAAATGTTTTGATCTTCTTGGGATTGACCTCAATGCCCCTCTAATTGGCAATGAACCCAAAGAACTTTCCTATTAACGCCACAAAGGCACACTTAGCTTGGTTCAACTTCATTTCGTATCTCCTAAGGATCTGATTTTATGGCACGAAAATGAGGTATTTGATTCTTTGGCTTTCAAAACTGAGTACTTTCTCTATATTCCACACCCATAGTCATTCATACACTGTTAATAGGAAAAGCCACAAAAGCACACTTAGTTGGGTTCAATTGAGTACTTTGTCTCGCCACACATTCTCCATTCTCAGGTTCGATTTTGTGTCAAAACGATTAAATTTCGTCCCGTTCAAATTCAAAATATTTTTATATTAACTTCCTTTAAATTATTTTTTAATTTTTAGAATTTAATTTCATATCTCGTTTTTAGGTCACATAATGCCCGATCGTCTCGTAAAATGTGAAAAATCTATATGTCTCAGAATTCAACAAAAATGACTGGATAACTAGATTTCGTAAGAAAAATCCAACAATAAGGTCTGTTTCGTCATTTGAATTCTAAAAAAATTTAGGTTTTCAACCCGTACTGTAATGACAAATTATCATTTTATCATTTTCATAAATATTCAAATTTACCTGAGTTTTACATTTTTCCCCCTTAAAAGAATTTTATCCTTGAAATTCACACACTATTGAACATTCAACCATATGCATATGCAACAGTCATATAATACTGAATGACTACAAGAATGTACCTCCATGCTCAAACAAAAAACGGATAGGTGGTATGTATAATGTCCTCACGCTCTCATGTCGTCTCCTCCACTCCTCGGTGTTGTCACAGCATCTTCACCAGCCTCACAATCTTGCCTCGTAAAACCTGCTCTTGATTATCCATGATATGTACCGGTCCCTCCACGAAGGTCCATTCTGCATCATCAATCAGCTTGCCCCAATCCACCACATATGTGGAATCTAAGATGTGCTTCTAGAGTATAGAGACATAGAATATTGTGTGAACACCCGATAAATGTGTCGGTAACGCTAACCGATAAGTAACTGTGTCAACCCTCTCGAGTACCTTGAAGGGCTTGATTTACCTCAGCAAATTACCCTAACCCATCAAGCCTGATTGCGGAGTTCTCACACGTGAAGTAGTAGGGGCCTGTGCAGCACCCTGTAATTGATGCTGACTTCCCTGGCCCATGGTGGGATAGGGAGGAACAAAATAAGTCCGAGTATGCCCCACTGATAACTGGGACTGTAAACCCCCACATGCTTATCTTAATTTAGCAATGTAATTATTTTTGAAATATTAATATATGTGATAATGTATGCATGAACTATGTGGATTTTAAGAGTAGAAATAAAAATGTTTGTTGAGGTAATAGGGCATGTTGTAGAAGTTTGAAAGTATTCCAAAGTGAAAACACATTTTAGACAAAATTTGGGGTAGAAAGGATATTGGACATTGCCTAGTATTTGAATCATAACTTTTTATTATGCTGTCCATTTGATATGATATTTTGATAGTAGATAGTAGACCTCTAGGGCTACAAAAGTGTATTTCATGAAAATATTTCAAATCGACATCTAAATAGGTCAAAATGTCACTGAAAGTTTCAGCAGAAACTGGGAGGACGTTCGAACGTCAATGAACGTTCGAACGACAGTAAGTCCCAGTACTTTGATGTTTGCAGAGCTTTGATGGAAATGCAAAAGTATTGGGAGCAACTAAAGTTCGAATGCCAAGTGACGTTCAAAAGTGAATCAATAATTTGCACTATTGACGTTCAAACGTCAAAGTGACGGTCGAACGTGACTTACGGATTCTGAGTTTCAGAATCGCGTACAGGAGGTCATTTTCCACCCTATAAATACTTAAAGACACCCTCTTTAGAACATTTCATCATTCTTAACCCTAGATAGGCTTAGAGAGGGAGAAAGAAGGGGAAAACAAGAGATGCAAGAGTTGATTCAAGTTGGGAAAGATCAAATCTTCATCTTCTTCACTCAAAACTAAGGAAGTAAGGTAGGGGTTTCTTCCCATTCTTGTCCATTGAGACTAGGGTTAATATATATGTATGTTTGCTTCAAAAATCTTAGATATATGTTATGATATTCTTGTTTTTTGATGTTCTTGCAAACCTACTCATGTCTTGAGTGAAGTTAAGGGTTGAAAGCCATAAAAACCCTTGTTTTGCTATCAAAACCTAGTTTTTCAGAGAAATAGATTTTTCTCTTGATTTTTTATTTATTCTTGATTTCAAAACTCTACTGCTTGGTATTGAACAATAAAATTGTATTTTTAGTGATCTCATGCATATTTTCTTAAATTGTTCTATTGGAATGATACATGTGAAATTTGAGAATTTTAGATTTTGCTTGTGATTTGAGGAAATTGGTTGGGTATTGTATCTATTGTGGATGTTTGGATGACCATGGGTGGCCGTTGACCGAATATCATAGAGTGAGTTAGATGCGTTTCTTACTCCGTGTGGGTTTAAAGGTTCCCTATCACTCATAGTGGGGTTGGTGCCTTGTGAGACTAAACCACTGTTTAGTCACCTGAAATCGAGGCTAAGGGTTAGTATACTGTTCTTGGGTTGGATC